CGTTTGTTTCGTATTACGCTTTTCAAACCAACCAAAATGCTTTAACTTCGTCTATTTTATCACAGAATTTGGGTATATATAGTAATTGTCGAGCGCCAAATGTATCGACTATTCACGCAAATCGATCTCATCTGTATTTCAATGTTAATTTTTTAATATTAATATCACCTTGAGGTTATAGCCTATTGGGCCTCTGATTTCGTATTCCGCTTCCCAAACCAACCAAAAATCTACTAAATTCGTCTATTTTATAACGACATTTACATTCTGGTGTATTACTGTATTTCTCGATCAAAAAATTCCAATGACAATTTTATTACCACCTTGAGGTTAGCCGCTGATTAGACTTCAGATTACGCCTCAGATTCGGCGTTGGATTGGGTTTTCAATCAGGTCTTACATTGAACTGTATTCAATCGTTCAAAAGTCGACTTATAAACTTCTTTTTCAGAGCACATGTTAATAGTTCACCTGCATCTAAGGACGTAAACGAGCTTATACTGTATTCAGTTATAAAATTTGCATAGCCAAAAAATCTCAAGTTTACATAAAGGATATGTGTTTACATAAAGGATATGTGCTAATAAGGTGCATAATAGCGACCTAAGTGTAGATTTTACTGTTAGGTACAGATGAAGATAATTATATTATTCAATATATAGAGAGTAATACATTGGTTCGCGGAAATAGCAGATAAAGATATATAATTATGTTGTTATTAACTGATCTTAAAAGTATAGATCATTCCACTTTGAAGTAATTACCGTACTACAAGATTTAAAAGGACATGTCACAATTCGACGTACATAAAATTAATGTTCAAACGTACGTTGTACCAGGACAAAAAAATTCCATTCGCTTTACACATTGCATGAAACAAATTTGGTAGAATTTGCATGAATATATGAACAGAACCGTCTACTAAAGAATGATCGAATAGATATACAAGCGAACTCTTATGCATCTCAGTGTCATAACTCGTTCACTCCTTTCAGGCCAAAGCCTTAATTAAAGGCAAAGCGGCGAGTAAGCTATAACTGCGGTTTCGTTTAAGCCACAAAAGTTTAATGCGCACATTTCACAATGCCGCAACTCACAATACTGGATATACTGTTGGGATATATAGTAGGCCTATTTTTAATGTCACTAGACTTAGTTCATATACGCATAACTTAATTATATGTGAACTTTTGTAGTACAGTACAGACTGCAAACACACTATAACAAATAATTTGAGCCATGCCTCCAAGACCAAGAGTGGCAATCAGACAAGCCCGAAAATTAATTTGTCCAGCTGAACGAAATATGCTTTGCGAGGTGTACAATTTTGACTGGCACGCAGCCCGAGTATAGGTTTTCTATCTATACAAATTGTTCTTTGTACTAATAGTAAAGACTAAAGACAAATTCCATTGGGCAGATTAACAGTGGGTTGCGAGCATAATCTGTCAAAATGACTATCTGCATATATTAATGATCTATTACCTATATTTCATGACCATGGAAATCACAAAGCGAATAACTCAGGACAACATATTTAGCATACAAGAAATGTATGCAACAGCCAATCGAATCTTGCTATTTTGCGTTAAGACAGCCAATAAGAAACAGTG